GACTCTCAGGCAGGCTGTGTAGGTCCGGTGGGGAACGAAGCGTGACTCCCGGGCCTGAATGTTTGTTCTTGGAGCGGGCCAGCATTGAGCACTTGCTCGACGGGCGTTCGCCGGGCGCTGGGGGGCTACCAAGTGAACAAGCCCCTGGCTTGTCGGAGCCCACTGCCAATTCCAACATACTCACCTCTCCTTCTGGTCGCCATAGATTGCCTCCTCCAGGAAGCCGGACTTGATTGCTCCTCCATGACGGGATTCCTGTCCTCTGAGACCGTATAGAATTTAAATGATACAGTCTAGTTTCTGCTCCCTGACTTCTCCCTGCATCTCTTCACACACACAACTCCCAAAGTCCTGAAAGTAAAATAAAATAATGAATAATTCTAATGAAAAAGGCTGGCTCCTGAGAAGGTAGAAGATTCCCTTCCCTCCTGGGAGCCGCTCTTCTCTCCTGACTTCATTCCATCCTTCACAACCCCTCTGGGGCCTCCTTTGCTTATTGCCACCGTGAGACACGGTAGTCATTTTGAGGTAAGATGATGATTCAAAGTCTGTCGCATTCAAAGTCTGTCGCATTCCCTGAGGCTCAGAACACGCATCCTACAGGCTGCAAATTTGGTGAAGAACAAATAGCCTCCTCACCTCTTCCTCTCCCTGTCCTGTCCATCAATCAAAGCCCTGTCTGCAGCTCCCAGAGAGCAGTCTGCTTCTTGCAGGGTCTGATAATGAGTCCTTTAACCCAACAGGGTTAATTACAAGTTGGTGGTATAAAAAGCTAAAACTTCATAGACATTGAGTTATGTGTTCAGAAGTCATGCCTTCATGTGTACACTACTGACAGTGTATATATAGTTATGAAATTACATAAATGTATGTTTCCATATAGACTTTTTATTTATATAGAAGTGTCCATTTGAACTTTTTAAGTTGCCTCTAATTTCCAAGACCCTCACCCTAATCTCAAAGAGGCAACAAAGTAATGGGTTAAGAGATCCTGATTCCCTCACTTGTAGCTGAAAATTTGGGGTCAGTTATTTAAGATATCTAGACCTCTGTTTCCTCACCTGTAAAATGATGATACTAACAGTACCTACCCCAAAAGAGGATTAAATGAGATGTCATGGTCAGACCATCTTGGTACATGGTATTCATGCATTACATTTTCCCTCATTTATTAGGGAGAAAAGTCTAGGAAAAGTCATACATTCATTCAATAAGCACTTCTTGTGCACCTATTATGCTCCAAGGTATCATGCAAGGCACTGGGGCTGCAGAGAGAAACAAGACAGAGTCACCCGCTGCCAGGAGAGGAAAGACACGTGTGGCAGAGATGAGGCTGCTAAACCAAAGTCAGCTTGCCCATCTGCCTGGACACAGGGAAGACTGAACTTCTTGTTCCCAAGGGTGTGTTGGGGCCATGCGATCAGCTCAGGCCAATGAATTGTGAATGGAAGTGGCATGTCACTTCTGGCCTTAGACACTCAATTCCCAGGGCAGAATTTCCTTTTCTTGCCCCTGCCAAGGTGACAGGAGAGGCAACCTTTGAAAAGCCAGGCTCCTGAGTGACACCCAGCTTGAGCTGGCTCAAAATGAAGTCACTGAGACTTGGGGTGTTTGTTACCGTTGCATACACCAGCCTCAACTGATGCACCATGTAAGCAAACCAATTTCACAGCAACACAGCTAACGGTAACAGTCTAGGACTTGTATGGAATGTGCAGCAGAGAGAGGTGTGTGATTGACTCTTTGAGAAGAAACATATGTGTATCTTTAATATTCTGTTTTGAAAACATCTACAGTATTCTATTGGATTTCTTGCAATTTTGATGGTATTAATTCTGGCAATGCTTGAATCATAAAGATGGATAAGCTCCTGAGAGAATTTTTTTTTAACAATCGCAAGTTAATGTGATAAACTCCATGGCTGTTCAAGATTGTTTTTCAAAAACTTCCAGGACACAAGGAGAGGGGACACTGGGACCAATTTGGGTCCCCACATTAGGGTTTTCAATGTGGAAACCCTAATTTCCTTCCATGGAAAGATGTCTGCTTTGTGTCACATCCTGTTTGTTTTTTTTTAAATTGAAGTACAGTCAGTTACAATGTGTCAGTTTCTGGTGTACAGCATAATGTCCCAGTCATGCATAGACATACATATATTTGCTTCCATTAAAGATTATTATAAGATATTGAATATAATTCCCTGTGCTATACAGAATAAATTTTAAAATCTATTTTTGTATATAAGTGGTAAACATTTGCACATTTCAAATACCCTAATTATCCCTTTTCACCCCCTTTCCCCCAGTAACCATAAGATTGTTTACTATGTCTTCGAGTATGTTTTTGTTTTGTAGATGAGTTCGTTAGTGTTCTTTTTCCTTCCTTCCTTTCTTTCTTTCTTTCTTTCTTTCTTTCTTTCTTTCTTTCTTTCTTTCTTTCTTTCTTTCTTTCTTTCTTTCTCTTTCTTTCTTTCTTTTTTTCTTAAAGATTCCACATATAAGTGATATCATATGGTATTTTTCTTTCTCTTTCTGGCTTACTTCACTTAGAATGACGATCTCCAGGTCCATCCATGTTGCTGCAAATGGCATTATTTGATTCCTTTTCTTTTTATCCCTGAGTAGTATTCCCATTGTATAAATATATCACAACTTCTTTATCCAGTCATCTGTCGATAGACATTTAGGTTGCTTCTATGTCTTGGCTATTTTATTTAGTCCTGCCATGAACATTGGGGTGCATGTATCTTTTCCAATTAGAGTTCCCTCCGGATACATGCCCAGGAGTGGGATTGCTGGATCATATGGTAGGTCTATTTTTAGTTTGTTGAGGAATCTCCATACTGTTTTCCATAATGGCTGCACCAAACTGCATTCCCACCAGCAATGTAGGAGGGTTCCCTTTTCTGCACACCCTCTCCAGCATTTATCCTTTGTGGACTTTTTAATGATGGCCGTTCTGACTGGTGTGAGGTGATACCTCATTGCAGTTTTGATATGCATTTCTCTGATAATTAGTGATATTGAGAATTTTTTCATGTGTGTATTGGCCATTTGTATGTGTTCATTGGAGAATTGCTTGTTTAGGTCTTCTGCTCATTTTTGGATTGGGTTGTTTGGCTTTTTTGTTATTAAGATGTATGAGCTGTTTATATATTCTGGAAATTAATCCCTTGTCAGTCTCATCATTTGCAAATATTTTCTCCCATTCCGTAGGTTGTCATTTTGTTTTGCTTATGGTTTCCTTTGCTGTGCAAAAGCTTCACATCCCGTTTTAATTTCCAGAGTAACAAGGGTGTTTTTCTCCCAATTTTTTAAATTTTGAAAAATTTCAAACTTACAGAGAAATTGCAAGAATGATACTCAATGAACACCCACATATCATAGGTTCAGAACGTTTCTCATTTTACATTTTAGATAACTTTCTCTTTCCTTTTCCTCTCTGTCCACGCACCCCACCCCACCCCTCGACCTTGGCTGAATCTTAAAAGTTGCAGAGATGATGAATATCAGCTGTAAATACTTCGACATGTATCTCCTAAAAACAAAACACGTTCTTACTTGACCACATATAATTATCACACTCAAGAATTTTAACCCTGATACAAGATTATTATCTAATCTGCACTTTAGATTCAAATTTCCCGAGGTATTCTCAAACTTGTACTTTACTATTTTTTTTAAAATTTCCTCCATCAAGGATTAGGTATTGCATTTAGTTGTTGAGTTTCTTTAATCTTTTAACCAGGAATAGTCCTTACCCCTGTTATTTTGTTGTTCATGGAACTGCCTTTTGCAAACAGTGGTTTGGACAGTTTTCACTAGGGATACCCTTTTTATCCCGGAAAAAATGTCTAGAAGCTGAATTGCAATGGACTTTTAGGAAACAGCACTGACTCTGTTTAACCCAAGGGTTCATCAGATCCCAAGTATCTTTTGGAAGCCTGAGATCACTCTTATTACTGGTCCCTTTCCCTAAAACCTCATGAGCCCTGGAGGGAAATGTATTGAACATAATGAGAGAAGACACAAAATCCCTTTCACTTAACCAGTCTTTGCGTTCTCTGTTGTACCTCAAAAGCAGAAGCGACTGCAGAGGTGTTTAAGTCTCCTTGTTAAAGCCGATTGCCAGCACACACATGCAGCACGAACATTTTCTGATAAATTCCCTGAAACTCACGCCACACATTAGGCAGAAAGACAGCTGCCGTGTGAAGAAAAGGAGGGCAAGCAATTTGTTAACAACCCTGGAAAAAACACAGCCAGACTTCTAGACACCCAAGAGGCGCAGATTTTATTTGCTTAAAACCTCAGCGAGTCTCGCTAGAGAGGATTTGTTGCTCCCCGAACAGTTTCAAAGACGTTTCTGTTTTCCAACAGATCATGTTCGTGACACATTGCAAAGCTATGGAAAATGTTTTGTTTTTTCTTAATCGACGTGCCGCACACAGTTTATCTTTTCTGCCACTTGGAGATTCTGAGCTTTATTCCTGCCGTGCAA